GTTAATGTTAAAGAATGAGAAAATACACAGTTTGAAACGTAGTGGTTTACCATATTAATCCAGGCGATAAACTGCGTGTGCAAAGGGAAGTAGCGTGAGCAGTTTTAGTGGATTGACTCTATCGCTGCGTGAGCATAGATCTGTTTGCTTTTGTATATATGTTTTACACACACACAAACACTGGAAAAACATGTGGGCCCTCAGACTCATGTGGCCCCCAGAGATTTTGAGACCCTTGCTTTAAATTCTGATCTCCAGGTGAAACTTCAGGCACTAAAAATGGCAGACTCTAAATCTCAAAGCACTAAAATTTCAAATACGCCTCGACAAATCCCGGACAGACATTTCTGCAGTTGTGTCTCTGAATACGTTTTGGGATTGTCTTCTTGTTGGTCTTTCTGGTTAAGCTCAGTCCATTGTCTTGTGACCGTCCTGCAGCGAGACTCAATAAAGTGCTTGTACTTTGGGCAAAACATAAGTGTGATGTAAAGGAGGTGTTTTTGAAAGCGCCTCTTCCCAGATGTCGTTGGCTCAGCTCTGAGGAAATGGCGACAAACACATTCATGCATCAAGTCCAGTTCCAGGTTTCACTTCAGAGAAAAACAGTCAGAGATGTGTTTGTAAAAAAACATTCAACTATATTCAAGTTTAAACTGTTCTGAGTCTCAAAAGCAGTCATTTAGATTCTTCAACAATAGATCAGAGAATCACAACAGTTAGACCACAAAAAATGACAAACAAATAGGAGCTGTTGGTCCATGGCATCTCTCCTGCTGGGACTCTGAGGTAAGTAAGTAAGTAAGTAAATTTTATTTATAGAGCACAGAGGCCAGTCCCTGTGCACAGAGAGGTGCACAGGGACTGGCCTCCTGCTGAGACTCAGAGGAGCACAGGGACTGGCCTCCTGCTGGGACTCAGAGGAGCACAGGGACTGGCCTCCTGCTGGGACTCAGAGGAGCACAGGGACTGGCCTCCTGCTGGGACTCAGAGGAGCACAGGGACTGCCCTCCTGCTGCGACTCTGAGGAGCACAGGGACTGGCCTCCTGCTGGGACTCTGAGGAGCACAGGGACTGGCCTCCTGCTGGGACTCTGAGGAGCACAGGGACTGGCCTCCTGCTGGGACTCTGAGGAGCACAGGGACTGGCCTCCTGCTGGGACTCTGAGGAGCACAGGGACTGGCCTCCTGCTGGTCCCAGAGTCAGGACTAAACATGTGGAGGCAGCATTTCAGATTCATGCAGCTAAAATCTAGAACAGTCTTCCTGATAATGTGAGACAGGCTTCTTCTCAGACAATTTTCAAATCCAGGTTAAAAACAGTTCTGTTTCGCTGCAACAACTGAGGGATTTTAAATTTGCAATATGTAAAACTGTGGCCAAAAGTGGTACTGCAGCCTCTCCCACTCTCCCTGACTCAGGTTGCCAGATATGCAGACGAATCCAGCTGGGACCATAACAGCTGAATAGACAAGAGTTTTGTCAACAACAAATCTATAACCAACACCTTTTTCACAAAGATAGAAATCCTGGTTTTATTCCTTGTTTTGTCGTTAATGATTTGAGAATCATAACAAGACCTTTTTTAGTTCTGCGCCACATGGTACTTTACCAGTGAGATTAGCTCCACGCGGTGAGTTCTGGCGCCCGGATCACAGACTTTCTGATTGGTGAAACGGTGGAGGGCGGGACATTGAAATTAAAAAAATAAAAAGATTTAGAGGCTGGAAAAATAATTTAGAAATTCAAATATCTCTGAACTACTGTTATCAGTTAAAGAAGAATACAGTATGTTTTATTAACGCCTTTTGACAGATTAGGGCCCTTTAAAGATGACTCGACAGGAAAATCTTATATATTGCTCCAGTTTGTTTTGTTCGGCACTTTGAGTTGCCTTGTGTATGAACTGTGCTATTCAAAATAACTTCCCCTGCCTGCTTCATGCCCCCTCTGTGTCCTTATCCAACCCATGTATCGCTGCAGTATCTGTGTCTGTTTACACCGGCCCCTGAGTGTCACTGTGCTGTGATCCGTAAACAGCAGGCTCCCAGTGTCCGCATGTGTCTCTGGCCCCGTGGATATCCGGCCCCAGCTGCTCTTAAGGGCTCCGTACATTGTGTCCCGGGGCCGGTCTGTATACCCAGCATCCTCTCTGGCCGCGTGCAGACATAAACACGGGCAGCCAAACCTCCCGAGGGCCATCCAGGGGCCTATTAGCCGCACAATAGGTGACGCACGCTCGGATAAACAAGGCCATAAACAGAACGATATGTCAGAAGCGGTTTTATTCAGACGAGCAGAGACTAAACAATGGGAGCTGTCGGAGAAAGTATACAAGAAAATCCATCGATCACAGACTCTTTTTGGAATTATGAAATGAGAAGGTTCGGTCACGCTTTAGTTTTACCCTCAGTGTGTATGATTGAGTGTATAATTTATGTTAATTAGCTCTGATTTGGTATTTATTAAGCACTTATTAGTCTGTTTTCGACATGGACTTATTCAATATCTAGCTAACTACTGACTGACACTTCCACAAGCATCTGAATCTACCTGTAAAGTCAGTTGTTTTACTGTAGCTGATACTGTAGTAGTAGTAGTAGTTGTAGTAGTAGTTGTGAAGCAGTAGTAGTTGTGAAGCAGTAGTAGTATTATTAGTATTATTATTATTATTATTAGTAGTAGTAGTAGTAAGTAAGTAATCTTTATTTATATACCGCCTTTCACAGACCAGAGTCTCAAAGCGGTTTACAATTGTTATTATTGTTTTGGGCACTTGTCTCTCACTCCACACAGAGATGGGAGCGGGGCCAGTACAGGAGGAACATGCCAGAACTATTGGACATGTTTTTAGTGGTAGGGGAAACCGGAGCACCCGGAGGAAACCTACGCAGACACGGGGAGAACATTCAAACTCCACTCAGAAAGGCCCTGGTCCGACCGGGATTCAAACCCAGGACCTTAGTAGTAGTAGCAGGAGATGCAACAGCAGTAATAGTAGTTTAGTTTTAGTAGTAGTAGTAGTTTGGTTTTAGTGGTAGTAGTAGTAGAAGTAGTAGTAGTAGTAGCAGTAGTAGTAGTAGTAGTAGTAGTAGTAGTAGTAGTAGCAGTAGTAGCAGTAGTAGTAGTAGTAGCAGTAGTAGCAGTAGTAGTAGTAGTAGTAGCAGTAGTAGTAGTAGTAGTAGGTAGTAGTAGTAGTAGTAGCAGTAGTAGTAGTAGTAGCAGTAGTAGTAGTAGCAGTAGTAGTAGTAGTAGTAGTAGTAGTAGTAGTTAGTAGTAGTAGCAGTAGTAGTAGTAGTAGTAGTAGTAGCAGTAGTAGTAGTAGTAGTAGTAGTAGTAGTAGTAGTAGCAGTAGTAGTAGTAGTAGTAGTAGTAGCAGTAGTAGTAGTAGTAGTAGTAGTAGTAGTAGTTTGGTTTTAGTGGTAGTAGAAGTAGTAGAAGTAGTAGTAGTAGCAGTAGTAGTTTAGTTTTAGTGGTAGTAGTAGTAGTAGAAGTAGTAGAAGTAGTAGTAGTAGTAGTAGCAGTAGCAGTAGTAGTAGTAGTAGCAGTAGTAGTAGTAGTAGTAGTTTAGTTTTAGTAGTAGTAGTAGTAGTAGAAGTAGTAGTAGTAGTAGTAGTAGCAGTAGTAGTTTAGTTTTAGTAGTAGTAGTAGTAGTAGAAGTATATATTTTACTTTGTAGTTGGTAGTCATATATATATAATAATGTCCTTTAACAGTTACAGTACAAATGTGTTAGACCGAACACATCTGTACACAATGACACACAAATACACACACCGTACAAATACACACACACACCGTGACAGAAAAGGCAACACACTCTGACCGATGGTTGAAGCTGAATTGCGTGTTTTCTCCGATGACGATACAAAAGATTCTGAGTCATATTTACAGCGACACGTTCATGAGAGTTTATATAAAGAAGCCGTGTGTACAGAATTAGACATATTTCACATTTCAGAATTCACAGATTTTCATTTCTTTTTTATGAGAAAACCGATATCAATATATTTGAAGGTGTTATGTACAATTATAAACTAGAGAAATTCAACTCATGTGCTCCTGTTTACAGAAAAAGATAGATTTCATAGTATTTATTCTTTATTTTTCTTACGTAGGATTATAAACCTCTTTTGGATTAAGATTTTAGCCTTGGTTTGAAAGAAGAACGAGAGTCCAACAACAAGATATTGATCTAATGTGGTCTTATAATAGATTAAATTGGACAATATAAAAACAGATACAGTACAGAGCAAAAGTTTGGACGCCCTCCCTCCTTCACTGAGTTCTTTTCATGACTATTGACTGTAGACCCGCACCAGGCTGTGTAAGGGCTGTTTGACCAATAAGGAGAGTGACCGGACCTGAACCCAGTCCAGATGCTTTTGGACCTGAACCCAGTCCAGATGGTTTTGGGGCTGGACCACAGAGTGAAGGGGCCAAGTGCTAAGCATCATGGGAACTCCTTCAAGACTGTTGGAGACCATTTCAAGTCCTCTTGAAGCTCATCCAGAGAATGCCAAGAGTGAAGCAGTATCAGAGCAAAAGGAGCTACTTTGAAGAACCAGAATACATGGTTTCACTTGTTTCATACTTTTCTTTTTAGTACGTACATCGTTCTAGAGTTCATTCATAGTTTTGATGCCTTCAGTGTGAATCTACCATTTTCATAATCCTGAAAATAAACAACTCTTTGAATGAGAAGGTCTGTACTGTATGTGTGTTCCTTGAATTGTTTGATTCATTTTAACAGAGAGAAAAGTTCGACAACGTATTATCACTATTTAATTTGGTATATTAGGCAAATAGCAAACTGACGTCAAAAGCAAACAAAGAAGTAAAACCAATGCAATGTCTCATAACTTCAAACAAATCTCAGAGCCATTGTTTTTCCAACAGTAGACCTGGATTTGATCTGGACTGTCCCTGGATCCACACTGGACCTGAACCTGGACTACAGCCCCAGGGCTAAGGTGCTTGGATGTCTTCTCTCCGGTTCAGTGGTTAGCCCATCGTCCTGGAAAGCTCCTGTCTCTCTCTGTGGAAAACAAAGAAATATACTTTTATCAAGCTTTTATCTAATGGATTGGGAGGTTGTGTAGACTTTTATAACAAAAAAAGTTGTTTCTTTTTATTTCATTGAGTCATCACCTTGGCTTCCACCACCACTAGGGTCTAGACCAGGGGTGTCAAAGCAGTTCTAGAAACCGGTTTTTGTTGGGGTGGAGACTAGTGCTCAGGCCAGACCAGCCTTTTGAAGACCGGTTTGACACCCCTGGTCTAGACTCTCTTGGGATGAATTTCACTTTTCATTGTCTCACACACCATTAAAATACATGGGTGACAATTTGGTTCCAGTTAGGACCAGTATGGCTGCAGGTTTTCGTTCCAACCAAGCAGAAGCATGGGTGGAGTCTAGTCTGTTCCTGCTTAGTTGGAACTAAAACCTGGAGCCAAATCAACCCTTCAAGAACCTTCTTGTTTAATTCTTTCCAGATAGAAAAAAAGCCATATTTCAATCCTCCTGACTAAGAATGATAATGAATCTTACAGTTGTGTATAGAGAAAATAATGATATATATATATTAAATGTAAATAGGGACATATTAGCTTACTCTGGCCCTGTCTCTTGGTTGATGATCCGCTGCAGCCGTTGCATGTGCTCATTATATATAGCTGTGGAAGAAAAACATATATTTAACCTCTGAGAAAAGTTTGCAATGATCGTTCAGAAATTGTACAACTCATTTTCAACTTCTACTTACGTCCAGTCAATGAGAACGTGTTGCTTCTTCCAAAAGATCCAAATCCGGTCCCACTGCTTGACGAACCTCTCCCTTGGTTGCTACTGCTGCTGCTACCCAGTTTACTTTGATCTGAATTACTATTGCTACTGCTGCTACTGCTGCTGCTGCTGCTACTGCCAGGTCCTGCTAACCACCCCCACCCAGCAAACGCCTTATTGAGCCCCGTTGAGCTGGACCCAGAAGAGGAGCTTGGCGAACTGGGAGAGCTTTTACTTGATGAGGAGGACAGTTTGTTGAGGCTGGAGCTGCTGGAAGAACCCAGATTTGAATTTGAGGAGCTGGACAAACCAAATATGGAAGTGGAGGGCTTTGAGTTCAGGGCTGTCTTCGATAAGCTAGAACTGGAACCAAGATTTGTGTTGCTCGATGAACCGAAGTTTGACCCTGTGTTGGAACTTGAAGATCCGAAATTTGAATTGGAAGAGCCGAGATTGGAACTGGATGAGCCGAATTTGGAGTTGGATGACCCTTGATTGGGGCTAGACGATCCTTGGTTGGCGTTTGAAGACCCAAAATTGGAGCTGGACAATCCTTGGTTGGAGTTTGAAGACCCAAAATTCGAGTTGGACGATCCTTGGTTGGAGTTTGAAGACCCAAAATTCGAGTTGGACGATCCTTGGTTGGAGTTTGAAGACCCAAAATTTGAGCTTGACGATCCAAATTTTGAGTTTGAGTTTGATGATCCAAAATTTGAGTTTGAGTTGGGGCTTGACGACCCAAAATTTGAGTTTGAGTTTGACGACCCGAAATTTGAGTTGGAAGAACTTGCACCGGTTCCTCCACTGGAACCAAACTTATTCTGACTAGAACTGGAAGAACTGGGATTGCTCGACAAACCAAACAAAGACGTTTGCTTGTTCGACCCAGTATTTGACGATGAACTGGAACCAAACGAACCGAAAGAAGACCCTTGGTTACTTGATCCCTGCTTGTTTGAAGACCCAAGACTGCTGCTGCTGCTGGATCCGAGGCTTGACGATCCCAGTCCGGTTGAAGATGGTTTGTTGAAGTTAGAGTTGCTTGAACCCAGGCCTGAGTTGGTTCCGGATGACCCAAAAGACCCGGAGGAGCTTGAGGAGGAGGAGGAAGAAGAGGAGCCGGAGGAAGAAGAGGAGCCAAAGTTGTTGCGGTTTGACTGGCCTCCTGAGTTGGGGAACCCTGAGCTGGAGGAGCCCGTGTTGAGACCCCACGTGGAGCCGGGCTGGCTAGCAGGTCGGGGGAACAGACCACCTCCAGTCTGGAACAAAGCAAGAGTAAAACAAGCCCTGGTTAGACATAATCATATGAACCAAGTTTGCATCTATAAAAACGTGTAATCTTCAAGTATTAGTAAGAAAGTCTAAAACCACAAGTTCTCACTTCTGGGTGGTAATGGAAGGAAACTTTTGCAAAATTTATGAGCTACCACAATTTTTGCAGAATTTATGCTATCTCCTTATTCTATTTCCTGGGATAGGTTAGCCTGTTTCACCACGGGGATAAAATGTCAAAACCATCCTTATTTTGAAGATATAGACTTAAATATGTTTTCTAAAGTCACAGCTCTTCTGTTAAAGGGGACCTAGAGTTTAGGTTTTGGGGCAAAAAAAACATTGTATTTACTCACTTGGAATGAGATATTGGACACAATGAAACATGTATTTCTGAAAATCAACTAAATACAATGTAGAGAAACAGCCAATGTCCCAATTCCCTTAGCCAAAGTCTAAGGGAATTGGGACGCCTGAATGGGCCTGATGAAGTTTGTAGGCACTCAAGCTGAAAGAAACATTGAATCTGTCCGCAAGACTAGTATTAAAAGGAAATGTGAAAGTTTAAATACAAGAAAGGTGACAGTTATGCAACAAATTGGATACCAACTGTACAAAACCCCAAAGAAGAAGAGGGCCGTTCCTGGACTTACTCTGGGCATGCACGACAGGTTGAGGAGCTTGAGCTGCTCCCTGACATGGTCCAGTTCCAAATCCTTGAACTTAATGCTTCTCTCCAGGACCTCAATGTTTCCGTTCAGCCTTTTCTTCTCCATCAGCAGCCTCTCTTTGTCTACGTCGTTCTGCCGCTGGATCAGCTCCACGTTCTGCTTGTGTTCTCTGGTCATCCACGTCCGGTTCTGGCTGCACAGGTTGTAGTCTCGCGTCATCCTTATGTTCTCCGCCGTCAACACGCTGATGTTCCCCTGCGACATGGACACCTTGCTGCCCAGGCTGTCCAAGTACTTCTGGAACTTCTGCACCACTTCTTCCGAGAGGTTGGTGCAGTTGGTCCGGATCTGCTGGAGGTATTCGATCTGTTTGGGGCACGTCAGCCAGAAGGAAGGATCTCTCGAGAACAAGGAGTCGATCTTGGTGAGGAAGGCTTTGGAGACGTTGGTGATCCCGCTCAAAGAGTTGACGAACTCATCTTTGCACTTGATTTGGTAGAGTTCGATCGCTTTCTCGTTCACAAACTTGTCTCGCCGGAGTTGGATAACCTCCAGGTTGATGTTGTCGCGCTCTTTGGCCATCTGGTCCATCTCCATTTGCATCCTCATCGCGATCTGAGTGAAGTTTGACTTTTCCAGTTCTATCCGAGCTTTGCAGCTTTCCATCTCCATACCGCAGTTGCAGCTGCCGCCACCGTTGCCAATCATGAAGGGGTTTATGCGAGTTGTCATGTCTGAAAAACAAACATATTGAAAAAGCCATCAGTCTCTAAAAGAAATCCTTCCATCCATCTTCTTCCCCTTCAATTTCTGGGTCGGGAGCGGTGTCAGTTAGAGCTGCCCCAAGTCACAGAGCACCAGCCCCTCACTGATCCTCCTGCAGGTGGTGAGTCCATAGGAGGATTATCTTTCAGTGGGGGCTCCAAGGAAAGTGGGGTTAAGTGTCTTGCCCAAGGATACAACGCAGCAGACATCAGTGGGAGTTGGGGGAGAAGGTTTTTGTGTTGGGCTCGACCTTCAGGCTCAAAGGCCAATGCTCTACCAACTGAGCCATACTAGAAATGTGTTTCTTGTTTCTCAAGAAACACAAAATACTACTACCAATAATACATTGTACCAGGCATTTGATAGTATAGTTCTGACCTTATATTATCAAGTAAGGTCCTGTAACTTTGTAAAGAGGTCAACAGGTTATGTTACCATGTTTATAAAATGTGCTTAGGCTGTAAGTGCAATTTGTGGGTTGTAGGCAAAGTTGCGAGTAACAAAAGCTTTTAGGGTAACATGTTTAAACAGGGGCTTGACAAGAGAAGGATTTGAGCCATATGGAATCTTTGAAGTGAGCATAATGTCCATCCATCCATTCTTCCCCTTAATCCATTTCTGGGTCGGGGGTGGCAGTCAGAGCTGCACCCAGTACACAGAGCACCAGCCCCTCACTGATCCTCCTGCAGGTGGCGAATCCAGGAGCTGAGATCTTTCAGTGGGGGCTTCAGGCAAAGTGGAGTTAGACGTCTTGCACAAGGACACAACGACAGCAGACATCAGTGGGAGTTGTGAAGTAGGTCTTTTCGGGAGCTCGAACCCACGACCTTCAGGCTCAAAGGCCAATGCTCTACCAACTGAGCCACTATCGGCCATAATGTGAGCATAATGTGAATGTGTTTTTGCCGTCTGATAAAAAGCCTGTGACAAGCGAATGAGCTGGAGGTGTTACAGCTACAGAGCCAGGAGCATCTTCCCTGAGTCGCATGTATTAAACTAACCTCTCTCTGATTTTGTGCAATTTTGTTCAGGTAAACTTTAGCTTGAACCAGCTTTAACTGAATTTAAAAACGCTTTAGAAATTCAAGTATATTTACCAAAATTTACAGACATCCATCAACATTTATGGACATTGGTCATCCGGCCCTTATGAACCAATGGCTCTATGGGTTTTGTTTTTAATCAGTGAATTTCTTGTGTTTCATTCTCTGATTTGTGTTGACAAATCATCCTCTGAGAGACCACTGTTGTGATTTAGGGCTATACAAAAATACATTGAATTGAATGGTAATAGTTGAAATAGTCGAGTGATCTCACCTGTTGGGCAGTTGGGTCGTCTCATATTCTGCTCATAATTGCACTGTTGCTGTAGAAGAGAAAAGCACAAGTTCATGTTAATCTGGAAAAAATGTACGACCTGCCGTTAGAAATAACTTAGCCTGGCCTTATCCATCCGTACTCTCCGGTCAATTCTCATCTCCTGCATGTAACGTCTGGGTCTGGTCCCTGTGTTTGAGATTACAATCGGTTGAATTCCATCCGACCAATCAGAGAGCGCGGGAGGCGGGTGTTGTAGTTAGATGTGGGCGACGTCAAGAGTTTGCGTCGAACGGGCGGGTTGTAGTTTGGTGAAGAATGCGATAGTAAAGTATTCTGTTCTGGTTCTATCAAGAAACTGAAGCCGGAGCAAGAGGAATGTTTAGCAAATGTAATCGCTGGAAAAAATTGTGGTGCTACACCCCACGGGTTCCCTTAGCGGCAAATGAGATGGCTAAAGTTAAATGCTAACGACTCACTCAGGCTCATTCTATACGTCACGGTAAACTCAGATCCAATCGTTTCAATCTGCAAAAGGAGTTAGCCCCTCCCACCTGTAAACGGAGTCAATGGAGCACCTCCAGACCTTAGTATGAAATGTAATCTGTACTATGGTGTGGTACGACCGGGCTAGAGGTAATTGTGTAGCTCCTGCGATTGTGTTTTGGAGAGGTGACATCTGCTTTAACACTTCAAACTCTCACTTCCCTTCTTTGTCTTCAGTAAATCCTGTAACACCCGACAACTTTCTCCAGAACAGACGTGAAGAGCTATGATTAGGATTTTTATGTTTAGTTCAGTTTAGTTTAGTTTAGTTTAGTAATGGGAAAAAACAGTACAGTATACAGACAGGACAAAACATACATGCTCCATCCCAAACCCTTCCAAAAAAGACCAAGACTGATTTTTTAAACTAGAAAAAATGCAAAAAAATTAAAAGGAAACAAAAGCTTTGAGAAAAGTAACAAAACAGAATAACCCAGACACAAAAATCACAAAAATAATGAGGATTTAAATGAGAACAATAATGATAAATGAACACATGTTTCTTTGCTTCTTCTGTTTTTATAAGAAAAGTTAAGAAAACCTATAATTGTTCCATAGTTGGCGCACAAACTCCTCATTCCTACTGTTCTGTAACTTGTGATGCAACACTGAAATTTCCCCACTGTGCATGAATAAAGGGTCTCTTCATCTTAATCTATTGAAACAGTTGTCAAAGTGCAGCACTGACATTAAAATAATCTAACAAAGGTGATGAAAATAACAATCCTAGTAATCCTCACCCGAGTTCTTTTACCGTTAACTCAATTCAAGAATTTATTTGAGATTTTTTTTTTGACATTTGCAGTAAAACCACATTGGAATAACTGTGCAAGACTCCCCCAACAACAGACAGCACACACCAGAGACATTTTATGGCGTTATAAATAGGATCTTCTCAACTTTGTGTGTTTACTTATTTGTTTATGTAGATGAGAGACTCTGCATGTGGTCGCAAAAGTAACATTTATAGAACAAACGAGACATAATGTGTTATACTTATTAGAAAACATGTGATCGTTTACATACTGAGAGCTGATTGGTGACTTTGGTCCTCTCTTTTTTATTTTTTTAAAGGTAAAGATGCACTTTATTGATCCCCGTAGGGCAAATGATCCTCTGCATTTGACCCATCCTGATGCCGCTAAGGCTTACGTCAGGAGCAGTGGTCGCCGTAGTAACAGCGCCGGGGAACCCATCTCCAGATGTTGATGGTCGGCTCGGTCAGGACCAGAGCTGGAGGATTTAACCGAGTGAGCATGTTTTTAGTGGTAGGAGAAACCGGAGTACCTGGAGGAAACCTACGCAAGCACGGGGAGAACATGCAAACTCCACTCAGAATGACCCCGTTCCTGGACCTTCTCGCTATCCACTCAGACACTGTGCCGTGTTAAATTCTGTCTGAAAAAGCCTGACAGTTTTGAGAGCGAGGAACTTGTTAGAACGGATTTGATCAATTTTAGCACAGGAAAAAACCTGCATAATAATTCAAAATAAGTCAAAAAATAACAAAAATGTCATTATTTTTGTGTGGTTTCTAAGTAAGTCCCCCAGCTTTAATCACATACATTTGTCACTCTCTCACCAGCTTCTTATCAAGGTTTTAAGCACGTTATATTCATTATGGCCTTATTCATTATGGCCTTATTCAACATATAATTAACTATTATTTCACATTTTCCCATTTGGGATTGGGTTACACTGCTAAAAATGATTTAAAAAAAAGTTGCATTAAAACTAGATTTTCCAATGGGACAAAGCAAAATTAACTTGTTTCAGAAAAATACTGTGTCCCTGGAAATGGTAAGTTTTTGAAATAGACTGAACCCTGTAAAAAAAGTGATACAATATGAAGAAATAATTGATTCTGACTGAGTTAAAACCACGTGATTCAAGCATTTATTATCTACTGTTTTATACTTTATGGCAGTATAGGTTTAGAGTTCATTAAATAGCACTTAATTAACTGTTAATTAGTGAGGGCCGATCCAAGCTTTTTCTTTGGAAAGTGTGTTTTCGGAAACCATTGATTGTCGACGGTTTCAGCAGGTTCAAGCAAAATAATAAAATGACAGAGAAAAACCATTAATTTCAAGCATTTTCTACCTCCTGTTATATCATTTTTTGCAGTGTAGGTAGAAGTAGAAGAAGTCCACATACAGGACAGGATAATAAGTAGATTTTTACATATATATATATTAGTCACTCTCTCACCAGCTTCTTATTCAGATCGAACAGGACAAAGTAGGAGACGTTGACCGTGGACCGGCACTGCGCCAGGTCCCACTCGTTGCGGGTCTTGTCCTGGACCGTGGCGTTGAGCAGGAGGGTCAGGTTCCGCCGCTGCTCCCTCAAACTCAGGGTCTCCAGGGTGAGCTGGCTGAAGCGGGTCTCCAAATCCTGCAGACTGCTGTTGGAGGCCGGGTCGTGCTGCTGCCCGTAGACCAGGAAGAGCACCAGGCTGACGATGATGAGGGACTGGATCAGCGAGGAAAAGAAGAACACGATGCGCATGTAGTAGCCGCAGCTTTTGCCTTTCGTCGAGCGGTACGTCTTCTGCTTTCGGGCTTCGGGACTGTATTTGGAGACGCGAGAATACATGACGGCGAAGGCTGGAGTCCCACGATGATGGAAAAATGAAAATATATCACGTAGAAGTTCAAAACGGCGTGTATTTGAGGAGGTGGTGGTCCATGCTGGTGCCAAGGGGAATGTGGTTTGTTGGGACGAGGTGGGATTTAAATAAACTCTGGGACAGGCCTCCTCCCCCCTGTTACTGGACACAGCTGGGATCAGACAATGGGAACGGGCCAAAAGTCTGCGAGTTGAGTAAGGAGTCAGCCAATAACAATCCAAGAACAGCAGAAGAGTTGAATGATGGGGAGATGTTTGGATATGAAAGCCTCATTCGCACCGTGGTGTTTCTCGCGGGTGGTCCGAGTCATTCTGGGGGAAAAGACACTTTTTGACTGGAATCTATGTTGAAATTGTATAAAAACAAAACTATCTCCAAACAAGCTGGGCGGCGTGGTGGTTAGAGCTTGCACTTTATCGCAAGAATAGCCTGGTCTTACTACACCACTGTACTCATTTCATTTCATACTAAGGTCTGGATGTGCTGAGGCATTTAGCATTTAGCCTAGCTTTAGCATGTAGCCTAGCTTTAGCCATCTGCTTTGCCACTAACGGAGCCCGTGGGGAGTAGAGCCACAACATCTTTGCTTCAATGACATTTACTAAACATTCCTCTTGCTCCGGCTTCAGTTTCTTGATATTTGGATTGAACCAGAACAGATTATTTTACTATCGCATTCTCCGACAAACTACAACCAGTAACTTCAGCACAAACTCTTGACGTCACCGACACCGACCTACAACACCCGCCTCCCCCGGTCTCTGATTGGTCGGAGGGGATTCAACCGAGAAAACTGCAGCCACTAAGATCAGACCCAGACGTACATGTAGGAAATGACCATGGACCAGAGTTTAAACATGGTAAGACCAGACGTACATGTAGGAAATGATCATGGACCAGAGTTTACACATGGTAAGACCAGACGTACATGTAGGAAATGATCATGGACCAGAGTTTACACATGGTAAGACCAGATGTACATGTAGGAGATGATCATGGACCAGAGTTTACACATGGTAAGACCAGACGTACATGTAGGAAATGATCATGGACCAGAGTTTACACATGGTAAGACCAGACGTACATGTAGGAAATGATCATGGACCAGAGTTTACACATGGTAAGACCAGACGTACATGTAGGCAATGATCATGGACCAGAGTTTACACATGGTAAGACCAAGCTTCCGCAGGAGGTTCTGGGTTTGATTCCACGTCCAGACAGGTCCTTTCTGTGTGGATTTTTATTTAATGACAATCAAGACAGACAGTTTCCCAGAGATTGTTTCTTTTCTTTCTCAACTGAACATTCTTCTAAGTTGTGGAACCATCCATTCATTCACCATTCAATCTTGTACATGTTTTTAGTGGTAGGGGAGAACATGCAAACTCCATTCAGAAATGCCCTGTTCCGACCGGGATTTGAACCCAGGACCTTCTTGCTGAGAAGCGAGACACAGGTCATTAAAACACAATAGTAAACAGCACATCATGAGTGGCTACAATCTCGTGCAATAACCAGGTTCTGAATGTGCTGCTTTTTCGTGTATGGACAGGTATTGTGTTGTTGTTGTCAAAAACGGTTTGATTTTCTGATCTGTTGCTGGCAAGTCAACAACAACAGCAGGTCTTTCACATTTCACAAGAACACCTTTGACCCCTCCTGCACTAAACCCGCCAGCATGTGTCCAACTCCTTCCTCTGTGGACCCAGCAGGCGTCGCCGTGACGACACCGGCCTGGCCTCGTCTCTTTGAAGTCCCCCCAGAATGACGTGGATCCTACCCCCCTTACCGCTATCTGCCCAACGCTTCATTTTAAGTGCGCCTCATTCGCACCAAAAAATAAAAAGTTCCATGCAGCTTCCTGACTGGAGCCACTGCACAGGAAACCGGATTTTTTTTTATTTTTTTATTCTTTTATTTATAATATCTCGACGGTGCCAAATGCGCTGGAGATGAAAGAGAAGGATAAATAGTGTTGGATAGTGTTGAAGTGGTTTGTTTTGGGTTTGAGAGCGTAAACAGGAGCAGGCGTTGGGGTCGAGTCAAAGCAGAGGAGACGTTATATTAACAGACCATTGTATCGGTGACAGCGTTTCTAAACACGGTGTGAAAGATCGGGTTCACGGTCGTCAGGCGCGGATCCAAATGCTATATTTGGAGAAGCTAGCAAGAAGCATTAAAACTTTAGCTTTACTGTGTTGATACCGTCAGCGAAAATATCAGCAGTTTTAGATCCATCCAAGTTGTTCAGATCGAGTTTTTGTCTGGTTCAAGATTCAAGAATTTATTTGCCATTTGCAGTAAAACCACATTGGAAAAACTGTGCAAGACTACCCCAGTGTGCACCAATAAAATTTTTATATAGCACATTTTGTAAGCATTGTTTTTAAAGTGCTGCACAATAAAATACGAATTCAAACAAATCCATGGTAAAAGTGTAAAATCATTTAAAAAATCAAATAGGAAAAAATTTGTGAGTGTATATGTATAAATATGAGAATATTTATACATATACAAATGAGAATAAAATATAGTAATAAAATTAAATAAAAATAAAAATAATAATAATAAATAAATAAAAATAAAGCAAAATAAAAATGTAAAATAAAAACATAAAAATTAAATCAAATTAAAATAAAGTAAAATACATTAAAAAATAATAATAATAATAAAAATAAAAAACATAATATTGATATAATAAAAGGACCAGAGAGAGAAGACGGCACACACCAGAGCTCTTGCCACTTTGAGTTGCCTTGTGTTTGACTTGTGCTGCACAAATAAACTTGCCTTGCCTGTTATCTGCCCCGTCTGTCTAAAAGATCTCATCTGTTACCCTACTTTTGCACTAACGGCTTCGTTATTTTGTGTTTTCGATATTTTCCTTGCTTTTTTCTCATCTGTAAATCACAGGCGTCAAACTCATTCTGGTCCAGGACTGATTTATTTATTTCTTCTTAGGTCACTACATTCAAAATAATTGTTACGTAATGGTATACAGAAAAAATACAAATACATGAATGATTACCATTAAAAGTTAAATAGAAAACAATATTTGGTCCAGTTTTGGTTAAATCTAAACACATTTTGTTCACAGTTATAAGAAAATAAAATCCCTTCTTTCAGCCTTCGACCAATTCCCATTTTTTTCATTAATTTGTGATCAATATTTTGTTTACGTTTTTCATTGTATTTACATTTTCACAGATTTGAAAACATCACACTTTACCTTTGTCCCTTTTTTATTCCCCACATCCACTTTTCCTCTTTTTAAATCAGTCCTGGACCAGAATGAGTTTGACGCCTGTGATTTACAGATGAGAAAAAAGCAAGGAAAATATCGAAAACACAAAATAACAAAGCCGTTAGTGCAAAAGTAGCTAAACAGCTAAAACAAATGAGATCTTTTAGACAGACGGGGCAGATAACAGGCAAGGCAAAAATCTAATGTGGTTCCTTTCCTGAGAACATGAGGACGTGTAACATGTCATAGTCGTTCATAACCATCAGAGCTGTACGTTAATAATAATAATTGAAATTCATGTTTGGGACCACTGAAAACTGTCTTGAGGACCGCACTTGGCCCACGGGCCTGAGTTTGACTTGCTGTAAATGTTACTGCAGTGTTCATGGTTTTACACTGATCGAGACCAGAGCAGAGACGATGGTCCCGACAAAGCAGATCAAGAGGCTTTTTGGGGTTAAAAATGCTAACACCGCATACAGAATTTCACTCTGAACCAGAACAGAGAAGCTGCCCTGAACCAGACTGAACCAGACTGCTCCATCAGCGTCTCTCAGTGAGGATTTTATTATTATTATTATTATTTTGACGTAATCTCGTCTTTAACATGTTTGCTGGTACCATGCACTTTTTATTATTATTTTTGATTTGAACTGTAAATATAGAAGTTACATGGTTGTACTGTCAAGGACCACAGAGGGGAAGTAGCCGGTGCTAAATCTGGTGCAGCCATCTTTAAAATTAATCTTTGTTAGTAAATTAAACTTAAACTCTCTCTTCTTCTTCTACACCCAAAAAATGACTACGTTTTTATTGCTTCCAGTTTAAAGTGTTATTACAGTAATAGGTGCGGCTCCCACTGTTGACCCCTGACCTCCGTCTTTCCCTGACCTCCTGTTTGGTATTGTTTCAGTGGACATAAATCTGTGGAGAACACACACACACACACACACACACACACACACCAATACACACAGACAGACAGACACACACACATGCACAAAAATCACACATACACAAACACACACAAAAACGCAAAGTACACACACAAAAAACACACAAGCAAAAAAAACGCTCACACTCTCGCGCACACAAAAACACACACACAGACAGACACACACACGCGCACACAAAATCACACACACATAAACACACAAACACTAAAACACACACACACATACACAAAAACACACACACTCACACCTCTCTAGCATCAGGGAGGTGTGTGAGGAGGAGGTGCTGCTGGGAACAGCTCAGGTCAAAGTGTCTTTAGATAAGATCAGTTTCTCATGACTAAAGAAACAGGAAACTCAAACTGTGTCGTGTCACAATCCAATAAAAAATAAATCTGAATTATTTTTTTATTGCATTTGTAAGTAACAGGAAGTCATCAACAAGGAATCTAACACACTGCAAAAAGTGATGACAAATTAGTCAAAAATCGAATGTTTGAGCACATTCTGACTGCCTTCAAAGTGCAGTTAGCGATGTTGTTAGCTTAGCCGTAGCACCAACTGGGAACCACTCAAGCCCCGGCGATCCAAGATGGCGCCCTATTCAAATGAATGGTTGTGCTCAGTGGCGCTTTGTGACGACATGGGGGCTGAAAGATTAGCGGAAGTTGCCTGAAACTCTCAAAGATCTATGGGAAAGTCGCCTGTATTTGGGCATCGTCTGGTCCTCCCGGTTCTGCGCAGTGGATGATCTCCCATAATGCATTGCGCCAAACACGCGTGTGTGGGTCTCACACTGGGTCTCACGCACGTGCACAGAGGGGCTCGGCCGCGCTCTGACCAATCAGAGCAGTTCATCAGAGCGGGAGTTAGAGCGAGAGCCAGACGAGCAGAGTTTGTGGCACTAAAGTGTGGATTTAAACAAAACCGAAAGATTTAAGAAGAAAAAAAGTTCAGGATGACAAGGGACACTAAAATCCCCACAAAATCCGACCTTTATGAAAGCTGTAGGTTCTCTGTCAGGTTCTCTGTCAGGTTCTCTGTCAGCTGAGGTCGAGCTGTTTTAATATACATTGAGTTCTATGGGGAAAATTTCTGGGTAGCCCACGTGAATTTAGTCTGGTTCAGTCTGCAGTACCGCGAGAATCCCCCGAGCACATGAGTTACTCAGCTACAAGCTGTAATACCCTATCCAGTTAATATAATACATCCATGGAACCACTCCCCCCCTCCCCTCCCCTCCCTCTCACCAAACCAAACATCCAGCATTTTCTTTTCTTTGTCACAACAGGGAGAGTGGAGCTAACGTGAAATTGGCATTTTCTGTTCAGCCAGAACAACAAATCAACGGTTTGGTGAAGTCCTTGAGATTTTGACTGAACTGGTCTCCATGGAAACAGATTTATGCATTTATTGAACTGAAGGGAACCGTTTGAATGGAAACACCTCTGTCTGCGTCGACTTTGACTTGTAACGTAAGCGAGAGGGATAATGGCCGCCACACAATCACACTGGAGCAGGGGAGGAGCCTGGAGGAACTACTTCAGAGGAACATACAGCACCACCTACATGTCAGCAAGGGAACAGCGCGGAAACGGCAGCCGAGACAGAGCCGCAGTGGAGCCACCATGGAGGACAGGTGAGAGAGCCACAGTAGGGTCATGATGGAGGACAGGAGAGAGAGACTTCTGAGCCAAGATGGAGGACAGGTGAGAGAGCCTTCTGAGCCAAGATGGAGGACAGGTGAGAGAGCCACAGTGGGGTCAAGATGTAGGACAGGTGAGAGAGTCTACTGAGCCAAGATGGAGGACAGGTGAGAGAGCCACAGTGGGGTCAAGATGTAGGACAGGTGAGAGAGTCTACTGAGCCAAGATGGAGGAGATGTGTGAGAGTCTTCTGAGCCAAGATGGAGGAGATGTGTGAGAGTCTGCTGAGCCAAGATGGAGGACAGGTAAAAGCCTTCTGAACCAAGATGGAGGACATGTGAGAGAGACTTCTGAGCCAAGATGGAGGACAGGTGAGAGAGTCTACTGAGCCAAGATGGAGGACAGGTGAGAGAGACTTCTGAGCCAAGATGGAGGACAGGTGAGAGAGTCTACTGAGCCAAGATGGAGGACAGGTGAGAGAGCCTTCTGAGCCAAGATGGAGGAGATGTGTGAGAGACTTCTGAGCCAAGATGGAGGACAGGTGAGAGAGCCTTCTGAGCCAAGATGGAGGACAGGAGAGAGAGACTTCTGAGCCAAGATGGAGGACAGGAGAGAGAGTCTACTGAGCCAAGATGGAGGACAGGTGAGAGAGCCTTCTGAGCCAAGATGGAGGACAGGTGAGAGAGTCTACTGAGCCAAGATGGAGGACAGGTGAGAGAGCCTTCTGAGCCAAGATGGAGGACAGGAGAGAGAGACTTCTGAGCCAAGATGGAGGACAGGTAAGAGCCTTCTGAGCCACGATGGAGGACATGCACAATTTCATTTGAATAGGGCGCCATGTTGGATCACCAGGGCTCGGGTACACATCCATGTCTTTCCTTGTTCTTCTACAGAGCTCTTTAATGAGCTCCAAGTTTAAGCAAATACAAACTTGTGATGTTTTACAATAAACCTGAAGATTGGATCTTTTCTTTCTTTTCTTTTTCTCAAACAGAAGTAACGGATCATTACTTCCCCCTGGAGGGGTTTGGAGGAACTGCAGAGGCTCAGCGCCCCCTTGAGGTGTATGAAGGTACTGCAGATGAGCTGGAATTACTGGAGCTGAATCTAATGCGGAAGGAGATCCAACTGAGAATCATGATCCAAGAGACGCCGACCAGGACTGAACCAGGTCTGGACCAGGACTGAACCGGGACTGAATCAGGAATGAACCAGGAATGGACCAGGAATGAACCAGGACTGAACCAGGAATGGACCAGGACTGGACCAGGACGAATGAACCAGGACTGGACCAGAACTGAACCAGGACTGAACCAGGACTGAACCAGGACTGGACCAGGTCTGAACCAGGACTGAATCAGGTCTGGACCAGGACTGAACCAGACTGAACCAGCTTGGTCTGAGCCAGGTCTAAACCAGGTCTAACTGCAGTTCTCTTTCAGGCAGGTTCAAGAGGCAGATATTCTATGTCAGAGTCGGAGACCAGGGGAGGAATCCAAACACATAATAAATACTTTTACTACTGCATGTGTTTCTGTTATACTCTGTGTCTGCCTGTCAGCGCCCCCTGGTGCTCACTAACCTGAACAGCAGTGTAGACTCTTAAAGGCATAGCACCGATAGAATATGCTAACACATGAATTACACAACATTAGCAGTAACATAATGTAAAAATCCACTGAAGACTTTTATTATTTGAAGTATGTCTCAATAGACTGTTAGCTCAAACACTTTGGGGCTCTGTTATATCTATATGCCATAATATTCCAAAAATTCCATAAATGTTTGCTTTTCTTCTACCTGTGAATGTTAGTGCGGTACAGTGTTCATAGTTTTGCACTGGTCCAGATCAGAGCAGAGAGGATTCATGGTCCAAACCAAACCAATCAAGCAGAATTCCACTGGAAGAAGGCAATTTTTGGACAAATGCTAACAAAGCATTCAGCTTTTTATTTTGGACCAGAGCAGAGAAAATGGTCCGAACCAAGCAGCTCTCTGCTGCTGTGAGGGGATTTCTCCTGCAGGGATCCATGAAGTATCTTTCTGTCTGTCTATCGATCTAACAAGAGTGCCTTGTTTTTTGTATTTTAATAAATATTCTATAGAGAGACTACTGACTCCACAGACAAATCTACATAAATGCCACAATAATATGATCATAATAATAATTAAATAATTCACCCATTGACACTGAGACAATTCCTTATTTGGTTGAACAAGATAAAAATTGATCCCAAACCGTGGATCTCCGTTACAGATGTCTTTAAAGTCTCCAAACACTACAACATTGTGAAGAAATATTGATGCCTCATTTATACTTAGTTAGCGCCTCTCACAGTCCATACTATCCACTAAAAGCTGTCAAACAGAGGAGGACATCAGTGAGGTCATTATGTGTTTCTGCCAGGCATTATTGGATATTATATATTGATTTTTCTTCTGGCAGAAGTTGGCCCGCCCACTTACCTTCAGACCCGCCCACTTACCTTCAGACCCGCCCACTTACCTTCAGACCCGCCCATTTACCTTCAGACCCGCCCATTTACCTTCAGACCCGTCCACTTTCTTTCAGACCCGCCCACTTTCCTTCAGACTCGCCCACTTTCTTTCAGACACGCCCACTTTCCTTCAGACCCGTCCATTTACCTTCAAACCCGCCCACTTTCCTTCAGACCCGCCCACTTACCTTCAGACCCGCCCACTTACCTTCAGACCCGTCCATTTACCTTCAGACCCGTCCACTTACCTTCAGACCCGTCCATTTACCTTCAGACCCGTCCATTTACCTTCAGACCCGTCCATTTACCTTCAGACCCGCCCATTTACCTTCAGACCCGTCCACTTTCTTTCAGACCCACCCACTTTCCTTCAGACTCGCCCACTTTCTTTCAGACCCACCCACTTTCCTTCAGACTCGCCCACTTTCTTTCAGACCCGCCCACTTTCCTTCAGACCCGCCCACTTTCTTTCAGACCCGCCCACTTTCCTTCAGACTCGCCCACTTTCTTTCAGACCCGCCCACTTTCCTTCAGACTCGCCCACTTTCTTTCAGACCCACCCACTTTCCTTCAGACTCGCCCACTTTCTTTCAGACCCGCCCACTTACCTTCAGACCCGCCCACTTTCTTTCAGACCCGCCCACTTTCCTTCAGACTCGCCCACTTTCTTTCAGACCCACCCACTTACCTTCAGACCCGTCCATTTACCTTCAGACCCGTCCATTTACCTTCAGACCCGCCCATTTACCTTCAGACTCGCCCACTTTCTTTCAGACCCGCCCACTTACCTTCAGACCCGTCCATTTACCTTCAGACCCGCCCAAATTGCTTTCTTTCAGACCCGCCCACTTTCCTTCAGACTCGCCCACTTTCTTCAGACCCACCCACCATATTTCATTAAAAAAGCACACGTTAGGTGGATGTAAACCACTTTATTATGATAACGACCAGTTTATATTATTAATGAATATGGACATGAGATATTCGATGTTGGGAGTGGTTAATGTGATTAGGAGGGAAAAAATACTAATAGAGAGTTAGGTATGGGGTTAAGAGTAGCATTATAAATATAAGAATAAGGGATTGAAGCAGTATGGAAGAAACGTATTGTAAGAAGTATGGTATTAATAAATAATAGGATTAAGATAATTAGCGTAATAGTGAAAGTGAATAATGTAGTCAGTGGTGATAAAGATTAGTAGAAGTATGTTTAAATAAAGGTCAGAGTATGAGGAGGGAGAATGGAAAGTTAAAATGAATTGTTGTAGCAGGTTGGGTGTGGGTGTACTTGTGGGTAAGTTGTGAATTATTTTATTGTATTGTTTGTAATCTATGGTTATTTTTTTTATATATTTTATTGAATGTATTAATGGGTTTTAGGTTGTGGGTGTTGTAGGATGTTACATTATAGTTGGGAATGAGAAATTATGTGAAATTTAAGCTATATGGAATTGGGTCTGGGAATATTTTTTGTGTTGTTTGTTTGGTGATTTTGTGTAGTGATGTTGTGGAAGTTAATAAGAATATAAAGCTATGGTAGGGGAGTGTGTGTGGTTTGTGAGTGTTTGGGAATGTTTGTGGGGGAATATATTTGGTAGGTATTTGTTATGAATTTGTTGAGGTGTTTGGGTTTGATGTAAAGTAAAAGGTGATATGTAAGTAATGGTGAATGGTAGTAAAATGTGAATGATGTATGATTTATTAGTTTTAGAGGAGAGAGATGGGGATATATAATTTAAAAGGGGGTGTATTTAATGATGATTGGTGGAGATTTTAGGACAGGGATGCTAGTGAGGGTAATTTACTGTTGGTTGTAAGATATTGGCAGGGTACTATGGTAGAGAATAGGTGGAGATGTGTTGTGTAGGTTTTTTGTGAGAAATTGAAAAGGGATAATTTGGGTATTGAATAAAAGAGAAGGAGGGGATAGAGTTGGTATAAGGGTAATGGAAGAAGGGCTTTATAGGAGTGATATGGGTAGGGAAGAAGGGATGGGTAAGGTTTGGATATGGGGTAGGGAAGATTAGATGGGAAATGTGATGGTAGTTTTATGGGGAGTATGATTTTATGTGGATGATGAGTTTTGAGTTTATGGAGGAAGGGTTTTGGTGTTTATAGAGGAGAAGGTATTGGGATTTGAAATTAGAGATTATTGCTGTTGGTGGGGTGAGGGGTTGTGGTGGAGGGGGGGGGGAGGGGTGGTTAAGGTAGTTTATTGGGGAGATATGGGGAGGTGGGGGGTGAAAGATATAAGGAGATGATTGGGGATTGAGGGGTAGTTGAAATGGGTGGTATGGGAAGGTATGAAGGAGGGGGTGGGGGTAGGGGGAAAAGTGGGGGGAAGAAGGGGGGAGGAGGTGGGAGAAATAATAGTATTTAGGGGTGGGGGTGGTGGGGGAGGAGAGAGAGGATGTAATTTAAGTGGGGTGGTTTTGTGAGGTTTTTTTTGGGAGGTAATGGGTTTGGAAGGGGGGTAGGGGGGTAAGGGGAGGATGATTTTTATTAATTCATTTATTGTATTTTATTTGTGGGTGTGTTTGGGGGAAGGGACATCGTACAATGATGCATCTAGGGAACATCTGGACCTCATGCATGATTATTATGTCAATTTTGGAGAGGGGTCGAGGGTCGGAAGAGGGAAGAATAATACTGTAAGTGGAAGGGGGGGGGTGGTGAGCTATAGTGTATTCGACATAAACAACATACAAACAATCTCCGATGCCCGGGCAGGAGTGGTGGGGAAAGGGGTTGTACCTAGGGATAATGTTTATGTTAAGGTAAGTGAACTGTTATGGTCAGATTATGTATAGTATAGGGTTAAGGACTGTAATATAAGTACTCGTTAAGTACACGGTCTGACATGTTATTTAATGTAGGTTAGCGTAAGGGTAATGTGTATGTATTATAGATGTAAGTTATATTATGTTATGAGGTAGGTTAATGGAATGGTAGAGTATGGTAAGGTTAGATAATGTTAAAAGGTTTCTGTTATATCTGTTAAGGTTATGGTTAGATTAGGTTAATGTAGTAGGTAAGAGAAGGTTAGCGTAGATAAGGGTAGGGGTAAGCGTAGGGAATGTTATGTTATATAATGTTAATGTAAGGTTATATAATGTTCAATGGTATGTAATGTAATATGTTATAGGTAGGGTAATGGTAGGGGTAGATTATAAGTAGGGAAATTTATGGTATCTTAATTAGGGTAATGTTATGGTAATGGAAATGATAAGAAGAATGGGATGGAATGGTTAGGAGTTTGGGGGGTGTGTGTGGATGGGTATGTAATATTTTGATGGTGAAATTAGGGGATGGTTTGGTATTTATGAGGGTGAGGTATTTTGGTGGTATATAATATAATTTTTTTTTTAATGGATATGTTTGGAATGGTGTGGGTGTTGAGGAGTGTGGTGGGATGGGGGGGGATTTGGGTCGGTGGTTAAATTTAGTAATATAGGTAGAGGTGGGAGTAGGATGGTAGGAAAGGAGGAAAGAAAATGGAAAATTTATGGGGGGTAATGGAATGGGTGGGGTAGTATATTAGGATGAGGTGGATGTGATGGGTGTTGTAGGTGTTTATTTGGGATGTGGTGGTATGGGGGATATGAATGTAAAATAAAAGGGGTGAAAATAAAGAGTGGAATGAAGGGGGGGGGGGTGGAGGGGGGGAGGGGTGGGAAGGGGGGGAAATGAGGGGAAATAGGAGTAGTTTAATGAAATAAGGTGGTAAATATAAATATTGGTTAGTTGGGGGGGATGGTTTGGGAATGGTATAGGGTGTGGGGTGGGGGGTTTTTAGTAAAAAAGGTAGTTAAGTGAAGGGGGATGGGGGGGTATGATGGGATAGGATATGGTGGTGAAAGAGTTTATAAAGGGGAGTGGATATGTGTGGAATAACAGAGGGCACAGGACCTGAGGCCGGAGGTCCATGATCCACTTTGTTGTTGTATATTTTGACCTTCGGCCGCGTGTCTCGGACACTCGGGTTATGGCAAAAAAAAATACGACTTTTTGGTTTAATGCATTAACTAAATGGTGTAACCAGAACCCAAAGACGCAAATAGGCTTCATTGCAAAATGTGGTCAATGAATGATGTTTTCTTTCAACAAATATTTTCATGTCTGGGTTCTACGGGGTTAAATGGACTTTTTCCTATTCTCAGTCGGAGCTTTGACGTGGTTCGATCCCATCCGTCAGTGGCACACGTCCAGTGAGAAGATCGACATCTTCCATCTGACCTACGAGCAAATGACACGGGTGAGAATACAGGACGACACCCATTTATTACAATGTACAGCCTTAAATCACAACAGCAGCTTTTCATTCACCAATAACAGATCATAACTCTGGGTTTAGATAAACACTGTAGATTTTGGAAGTAAATTTAAGTGGAGGAGAGTTGCATTCACACAAAAGTAATATTTATATGAAACACATTCAAGGGTCATAGGGAAACAGCGCCTCCTTCAGGGCAAAGCTTATATTCACTGAGAAGGCTGTTCGATTTTGCTTTTAGTCTAGAGCAGAAATCACAAGTTGGAAAACCTGCAAACTGAAGTACAGATGATGCAACCTTTGAATAATCCCTGTACAACTGAGAGTTTAAGGACACACTTCATAGACAAGGAAACTCAAAGTGCTGAACAAAACAAGATAGCTTTAAAATAAATAATGCTGTATGTAAGTTGCCTTACATACAGCAGCAGTTACCAATAAGCCTTTAACAAACAGTTTTTCTTCTGTATTTCAAATAATATTCACCAGTTTTAAAAGTGACTAAATGTAAAAAAAAATATCTAAAAATGTTTTGGGGACTAAGCCGTTCTCTGAGTAACGGCTTAAGTGTTACTGACACATTCCGTATCAAGTGGTCGAGGCAGTAACATAGTAACGTTCTGAAATCAAAGGCTAAACTCAAAGCCTTTGAGTCTGAGTGGTTTTATCACACAGACGGACTTCACTCTCTCTGCAAACGTTTGATGATGTCGATGGAAAACCTCAGTTTACTGACGACCCCTGAACACATCGCGTCTCTGCAGAACTTTCACATTCGAGATGACGACGTGTTTTTGGTGACTTTTCCAAAATCCGGTTAGTAGCGTTTGGATTATGATGATTTAGAAAGTTCTGAGGAGTAGAGATGGTCATAGGACTTGGCTTTTGGGATATGTCCGCATAGGCAGACGAACAGTTTATGATGAGATCTTTTATTCAGTCAAAATGTATGAATCTGGTAAAAAAAAAATAAGGGGTTTTTTGGCTGTCCTGGGAGAACCACATAGTTTTTATGTATTAAGTTCAATCATGTTTCCTTATGTTTAATGCTTGGTAGGTGTTTTTAAAAAAGAAAAAATTAAATTAAGCAGTACTAGCTTTTTTTTTACATGTTTATGGTTTGAGTTGCCTTGTGTATGAGCTGTGCAATACAAATAAACTTGTCATACCTAACTTTCCAATGGGACCAACATTTATTGTTTCGACCCCTGACCAGCTAGTACTAATTTAATTCAGCCCTTGAACCAGACAGAGTGGGACCTCCTGCTCTATGGTGTGTCCTCTGTTGTGAGTGCTTTGGCTCTACGCAGGAACCATCTGGACCCAGCAGATCATCATCTCCATCTATAAACTCTGTGGGGAGCTGGAGGATGGTCCTAACAACAAAGCTCAGATGCCCTGGCTGGAGCTCAAGCAGAACCAGTTTGACCACTCCACGCGGGCCTCTCCTCGCCTGTTCACCTGCCACCTGCTGCCCACCACCATGCCTCCAGGAGTGACGCACAAAAGAGTCAAGGTTCAATAATAATTCACTAGTCACTATTCAAATCAGTTCAATGTTTTTTTATTGATTGACTGCGGAACCTTCCGCAGTCAACCATTGGTTTTGTATTTCTTTATTCCGTCATTTTTTTTGACACGTTTCACAGCTTTCACATTTTCAACAATTTCCACAAGTTATACATCAAAACGTTCCACATGTTTGGGAGATTATTGCTATTACTTTTGGGACTTCAGCGATTTCCGGTTTTTCCGCAATCGGACAAAAATCTGCATTGAGAATTCTGCAATGCATTTTAATAGGCCCATGCATTTTAATAGGACTTCAGCTCTTTCAGACATTTCTACAGTTTCAATGATTCAACAGTTTCAAGGATTCAACAGTTTCAAGGATTTCAGCAGTTTCAAGATTTCAAGAGTTTCAAGGACTTCAACAGTTTCAAGGACTTCAGCAGTTTCAAGGACTTCAGCAGTTTCAAGGACTTCAGCAGTTTCAAGGACTTCAGTGTAATCATGCAACCTAATAGGGATTTTTCCATGTAAACCAGTATAATGCAACTTAATAGGGATTTTTCCATGTAAACCAGTATAATGCAACTTAATAGGGTTTTTTCATGTAAACCAGTATAATGCAACTTAATAGGGTTTTTTCATGTAAACCAGTATAATGCAACTTAATAGGGGTTTTTTCCATGTAAACCAGTATAATGCAACTTAATAGGGTTTTTTCCATGTAAACCAGTACAATGCAACTTAATAGGGATTTTTCCATGTAAACCAGTACAATGCAACTTAATAGGGATTTTTCCATGTAAACCAGTATAATGCAACTTAATGGGGATTTTTCCATGTAAACCAGTATAATGCAACTTAATAGGGTTTTTTCCATGTAAACCAGTATAATGCAACTTAATAGGGTTTTTTCCATGTAAACCAGTACAATGCAACTTAATAGGGATTTTTCCATGTAAACCAGTATTATGCAACTTAATAGGGATTTTTCCATGTAAACCAGTATAAATGCAACTTAATAGGGATTTTTCCATGTAAACCAGTATAATGCAACTTAATGGGGATTTTTCCATGTAAACCAGTATTATGCAACTTAATAGGGGTTTTTACATGTAAACCAGTATAATGGAACTTAATAGGGGTTTTTACATGTAAACCAGTATAATGCAACTTAATAGGGATTTTTACATGTAAACCAGTATAATGCAACTTAATAGGGATTTTTCCATGTAAACCAGTATAATGCAACTTAATAGGGTTTTTTACATGTAAACCAGTATAATGCAACTTAATAGGGATTTTTCCATGTAAACCAGTATAATGCAACTTAATAGGGTTTTTTACATGTAAACCAGTATAATGCAACTTAATAGGGGTTTTTACATGTAAACCAGTATAATGGAACTTAATAGGGGTTTTTACATGAAAACCAGTATAAAGGATAACAGTTTAAAGGATATCAGGAGCTTCAAATACTTCAGGAGTTTCAAAGATGTTTAAAGTATTTTAACAGTTTCAAGGATTTCAAGGATTTTTCAGCTAAATTCCACATTAGATCTGTTCCGCAGTCAATCGCAATGGCTTCAGCCATTGCAACGGTTTCTAGTTTTCTATTTAACCTTTATTTAACCAGGTAAGTCCCATTGAGATTAGGGTTTAAGAAAAGATTAAGAAAAACACTAGTTACTTTATCGGCTGTTTTTTTCATAAAGATCCAAAAAACAGTTGTTCTTGAAATGAGACTAAATGGCTCCGTCCCATTGGCAAGTCTTGTCAGACACAGAATGTACTCAGATTAAGATAAAAACGACCTATTCAGCAATTATTAACTCACATTGTACCATTGTTTTTGCAGTGTACGCACAGACTTCTGATTTGTCTCTGAATAATCCTAATATTTTTTCACCTGTAACATTGTTGCCAGGTTGTGTATGTGAGGAGAAATCCAAAGGACAACTTGGTCTCATCGTATAACTTCGTGTACGCCGACCACAGCTTTGAGGACTTCTTGGACAAGTACTTGGAAGGAAATTGTGAGTGACTTGAGATGAACTGATAAAGTTGACTTTCTTTTGTGACAAAGAGGGATGTTGTTTTTCCAGTGGAAAGTAATTTCTGGTTTTCGTCCTGGTTTGATCACGTTCGTCAGTGGAACTCGGTCGGTGACCAGTACGACATCCTCTACCTGACCTACGAGGACATGATACTGGTGAGGACTGATCAGAGATTATGTATATAGACACACTGGATTATTTAAAAAACATGTGTATATTTAAATAATATTGTGTAACTTTTAGGGTCAGTGAAAGGACGGTCTTTGGGGCAATATTGTTATGCATGTGTTTGATTAACTGCTATAAAACTAAAATCCAAACCTCCTTCCTGTTGCCAGAATGTGGTAAACTAGAGTTCTTTTATGCCATCTTAAAAGGTTCAAGTATCAAAAGCTTCCGGGGCGACAGTGGCTCAGTTGGTAGAGCATTAGCCTTTGGGCCTGAGGGTTGTGGATTCGATCCCCCCACAAGACCTACTCCCACTAATGTCTTTTGTTGTTTTGACCTTGGGCAAGACACTTAACCCCAAAGCCCCCGCCAAAACACCAAGGCTGTGTTGTCGCTGACAGAGCAGCCATCTTCCTGTGGGCATATCACCAAGGGACTGCAATAAGCATTCGGTGGTAGCTCTGATTTTGGTGAATGAGTTCAAAATCTTCCTTCGAAACCTGATCTCCCTTTCTCATATCCGGGGCCTTGTTTACAGACTATAATCATAGGGTTTTAGTTTGAATTATCTTTGTAAAACCAGATATGAGTCATAAATAAGTAAGTAAGTATGTAGGTAGCTAGGTAGGTGTAGCTCATGGGTGGGGCAGGGCGGCAAAAAAGGTCATTGCAGTCAAATAACGTAGTTAATTATTAATTTTTAACCCATCCATTTTCTTCCCCCAGACTTCCCTCTCCACACACTTCCTCCAGCTCGACGATATAAGTAATACCATGTAATTTCACTTTTGTTTTGACAGGACCTGAAAGGGGCTGTTGTGAAAATCTGTGAGTTCTTAGGTAAAACTCTCAGTGACGCCGACATCAACAAAGTTGTTCAAAAATCAACTTTTGAAACGATGAAGAAGGATTCAAAAGCCAACTATATCACGTTCATCCCGGGCTTTGAGACCACAGGAGAATTTATGCGAAAAGGTAACGTCATACAGTATCTGTCTGAGCCACAGACTGTACAAAAAATGGACAAAGCTAACACTCTGGCTCAATGAAGCCCAGTAGGGAAGTGCTCATAGACAAAGTTTTGCTCCAACTCGCTCTGTCTTCTACATCTTACATTGAAAAGCAAACTCCTCTAACTCAGTCACTTTTTTAGGCTTATAAAAATCTGTTGTTTAGGGTTCTCTATGATCCTAGAATTTAAATTATGTATTGTCTTTGTAAATCCAAATATTAACCATTGACCAATCAGATGCCTTCATTCGTGAGGGAAACTCCAGCTCACCTTAACAACCGTCTTAGCAACCGTCTTAGCAACCATCTTAGCGACCGTCTTAGCGACCACCACCGCTGCCCAGTTGTGTTTTCCTCCATAATCAGTCCTGGTTTAGCTCTTGTTTTGAATATTTTTGAGTATCTTCTTCTTCTTCTTCATGGTCCAAGCAGATTGTGACCACAGAAAACACCAACTGTTAGCTTACGGCATAAAGCTAACAAATGCCCATATAAGGAAATGGGCTCCAGCTATTTAATGTTTTGAAACACTACGGGTGACGTCACACTGAGGTCAGTCCAATTCAAGTATACGGTCCATGTCAGACCTGGGCAAAGTGCGGTTCGGGGGCCACATTCGGCCGGATTCACATTTCTATGCGGCCCCCCGACCCTTCCCAACCGTTAACCTCAAACCGCTCTGTTGCCGCTTATATTTGCTTCTTTATTATGTATGTTTTTATGTATAATAAATGTATAGTTTTTATTTTATTTTAGTATCAGAATCAGAGGTCAATACTCAAGGCTTCTGATTTATGTGTTACCATGGCATGTTATACATTTATTCTGCTCTAATTAATGAACCCAAAATGGATTAGTAATAATTGGCTCTGAACAAAACTTCCAAACACACATTCCAGCCCTGGAAATCTTCATGATTGTTAAATAATAATATTGCAACGTGGCCCTGGAGAAAATGAATGTCCAGCTTTAGTGGACTTTCTCTCTCCACATAGACTGTGGAGAGAGAAAGTGAACCAGTAACTTTGCAAATAATCGGACATAGACATAGACACGAATCCAACTCAGAAGAAAACATACTAAAAACCTATTCTTCTTGAAACTTGTGGTTTACAGGACGCATTGGAGACTGGAAGAACAAACTCACTGTGGCTCAGAGCGAAAGAGTGGATGGAGTTCTGAAGGAGAAACTCGGAGACATGAAGCTCGGGTTTATCTGGGAATAAAAGCATTTGGATTCTAGTCTGTTGCATCCTGAAGAAGGCCAAGCTCGGTTGAAACACGTTGGTGCGTATTTTAAATTACAGCCATGAGAAAATAAAGGCTTTTTAACTCTCTAAACTATTGACCACGAGTGCCTTGGATTTATTTGACTTTCTAAGCTCTTTAAAACTTGTCTTTATCTAGAGAGTCAACACTCAACACAGAGTTAACACTGCCGGGTCTGTCGCCTGCCATCTTGTGTCTATTGCAAGTGATCGGATTAAGTTACCGTGTAAATTTTAAACTATAGGTTGATTGTGTTGTTGTAAATAGTTGTCAAAGAGAAGTTAGATAATTCAACTTTTACTGCTGAATGTAGCTACTTCAGAGGAACATATAGCGCCACCTACACGTCAGCAAGGACAGGTGAGGGAGATTTCTGAACCAAGATGGAGGACATGTGAGAGAGTCCGCTGAGCCAAGATGGAGGACATGTGAGAAAGTCCGCTGAGCCAAGATGGAGGACATGTGAGAGAGTCCGCTGAGCCAAGATGGAGGACATGTGAGAGAGTCCGCTGAGCCAAGATGGAGGACATGTGAGAGAGTCTGCTGAGCCAAGATGGAGGACATGTGAGAGAGTCCGCTGAGCCAAGATGGAGGACATGTGAGAGAGTCCGCTGAGCCAAGATGGAGAACATGTGAGAGAGTCCGCTGAGCCAAGATGGAGGACATGTGAGAGAGTCCGCTGAGCCAAGATGGAGGACATGTGAGAGAAACTTCTGAGCCAAGATGGAGGACATGTGAGAGAGACTTCTGAGCCAAGATGGAGGACATGTGAGAGAGACTTCTGAGCCAAGATGGAGGACAGGTAAGAGTGCTTTCTGAGCCAAGATGGAGGACAGGTGAGACAGTCTGCTGAGCCAAGATGGAGGACAGGTAAGAGTGCTTTCTGAGCAAAGATGGAACGCAAATGAGCGAGCTAACATGCGGCAGCTAGCATCTTGAATTTTTGCGCAAATGTGGCTGCATCTGAATTGATCAAGTTCCCTGTGCTACAAAAGAGATCTTTGATGAGCTTCAAGTTTAGGCAAATACAAACTTGTATTAAAGTGATGAATACAAATACGGTGATGTTACCATAAACCTGTTTGGAGGAACTGCAGAGGTTCAGCGCCCTCTGGAGGTGTGTGAAGGTACTGCAGATGAGGTGGAATTATTGGAGCTGAGTCTGAGGCGACAGTAGCTCAGTTGGTAGAGCATGGGCCTTCAGGCCTGAAGGTCGTGGGTTCATTTCCCACCTCTACACCTTCTCCACCGACTCCCACTGATGACTGCTGTCGTTGTGTCCTTGGGCAAGACACTTAACCCCACTTTGCCCAAAGCTCCCACTGAAAGATCAAGGCCATGCTCACACTCAGAGAGCAGCCGTCCTCCTGTGGACTCACCACCTGCAGAGGGTCAGTGAGGGGCTGGTGCTATGAGACTTGGGTGGCATCTCTGACTGCCACCCCCCTGACCCAGAAATGGATTAAAGGGTAGAAAATGGATGGATGGATGGATGGAGTCTGAGGCGGAATGAGATCCAAATGAGCAACATGATTCAAGAAACTGAATGAGGTCTTAACCAGGATTGTGTCAGGACTGAACCAGGACTGTTTCAGGACTCAATCAGGACTGAACCATGGAGGAAGGAATTATCCAGGACTAACTGCCATTTTATTTCAGACAGATTCAAGAGGCAGATGTACTGTGTCAGAATCAGGGAACCAGGGGAAGAAACCAAAGACCTAATAAATACTTTTCTATTGCATGTGTTTCTATTATACTCTGTCAGAAAGCGTCTCCTGGTGCTCACTAATCTGAACAGCAGCAGTAGAATAAACTAACACATGGTTTACACACATAAAAATAGCAGAAATATGATGTAAAAATCCACTGAAGTTTAATTTTACAGCAGACTCTCTCACAGTATCACACTGCCTCACTGTGGGAGAGAGACTCCATTACAACTGCTCTGAAGATTTATTTATGTTCTCTCAGAAATATATCAGGAGCTCATCAGATCAATACAAGTTTAAAGGTAGTTTAGAGATTTTATGACACTTTGAAGCAACTGTGGTTAAAGTTCTAACTCATCATTCTAACATATGCACGAGCCAGTACTTTTCCACAGTATCATTTGATTTCTGAAGGCCAAAGCTACTGGCACTGTGGCGAAAGCTGATTGGACGGTGTTCACTCCTCCGCTGTATATTATCACTTCTCTGTTTCTGTCTGTCAGTCTGTTTATCTCTGTCTATCTCTCTGTCTGTCTCTGTCTGTCTCTCTGTCTATCTCTGTCTATCTGTCTGTCTGTCTGTCTCTATGTCTATCAGTCTATTTATCTCTGTCTGTCTTTCTCTGTCTATCTGTCTGTTTTTCTCTGACTGTCTGTCTGTTTTTCTCTGTCTGTCTGTCTCTGTCTGTCTCTCTGTCTAAATAAACTTGTACCTCTGTATATTGCAGAGGAACATTCTGAGTGATCCACAGGTCTCTGTCTGTCTGTTTATCTGTCTGTCTGTTTATCTGTCTGTCTGTCTATCTGTCTGTTTATCTGTCTGTCTGTTTATCAGTCTGTCTGTCTGTCTGTCTGTTTATCTGTCTGTCTGTTTATCTGTCTGTCTGTCTGTCTGTCTGTCTGTCTGTTTCTCCATGACCATAGTGCCATAGTTTGCATCCGTACTTTGAATACTCGGGGATAGATCTGTAATGTGGCGAGCAAACCAGGCCGAGGGCACGTCTGGACTATACCCTCAATAAGCTCCAAGCCCAAAGTGTCAAAAAGTGACTCTTAGGGATCTTTCTTGCTCTTTTGCACAAGGTTAAATGATTTTCTGGAGTGTTTTTTTTCTTCAAATTAGTCAAATTTTGGAAGATCTTAATGTTTCAGTGCTACTGCATTTCTCCTTCAATCTCTTTCTATAAATAATCTCCGTCCATATGCACCATCTCCTCTCCGTTCTCCCTTGCCTTTTGTCCTCTCCCCTCTCTCCCCTAACCTCTCTCTCCTCCGCTCCCCCCCTCTTTCCCCTCTCCCCTGACCTCTCCTCTCATCCCTCTCTTCCTCTCTCTCCTCTCTCTCCCCTGACCTCTCTCCGATCCCCTCTTTCTCTCTCTCCCCTTTCCCATTGCCCTCTTTCACTCTCACTCCCCTCTCCCTCTATCACATGACCTCTCCTCTCCCCCCTCTCTTCCTCTCTCTCTCTCCTATCCTCTCTTTCTCTCTCTCTCCCCTCTGACCTTTATCGCTTTCTCTCTTCTCTTTCTCTCCCCCTAACCTCTCCTCCCAACCCTCTCCCTCTCTCCCATCTCTCCCCGACCTCTCTCCTCTCTCTCCCCTTTCCCATTGACCTCTTTCACTCTATCACATGACCTCTCCTCTCCTCCCTTTCTCCTATCCCCTCTTTCTCTCTCTCTCTTCCTGTTTCTCCCCTGACTTCTCCCTCTTTCTCTCTCTCTCCCAACTGACCTTTATCAATCTCTCTCTTCTCTTTCTCTCCCTCTCTCCCCTCTGACCTCTTTCGATCTCTTTCTACCCTCTCTCTCTCTCCCCTGACCTCTCCTCTCATCCCTCTCCCTCCTCTCTCTCTCTCCTATCCCCTCTTTCTCTCTCTCTCTCATATGACCTTTTTTGCTCTCTCCAACCTCTCTCTCCCATTTCTCCCTCTCTCACTTCTCCCTCTCTCCCTCTGACCTTTGTCACTCTCTCTCTCTCTCTTCTTATCCCCCATGACCTTTTTCGCTCTCCCCCTCTCCCCTGACCTCTCTCTCTCTCTCTTCCTGTCTCTCCCCTTTCTCCCCTGACTTCTCCCTCTTTCTCTCTCTCTCCCATCTGACCTTTATCACTCTCTCTCTTCTCTTTCTCTCCTTCTCTCCCCTCTGACCTCTTTTGATCAATTTCTCCCCTCTCTCTCTTTCCCCTGACCTCTCTCCAATCCCCTCGCTTACTCCTCTACCCTCTCTCTCTGCCCCCTTCCTCTCTCCCATCTCTCCCTGACCTCTTTCCTCTGACCTATTTCCTTTTCCCTCTTTCTCTCTCTCCCCTTTCCCATTAACCTCTTTCGATCTCTCTTTCCCCTGACCTCTCCTCTCATCCCTCTCTCTCCCCCTTCTCTCCTATCCCCTCTTTCTCTCTCTCCCCCTGTCCTTTTTCGCTCTCTCTCCCTTGACCTATCTCTCTCCCCTGACCTCTCATCCCTCCCCCTCCTCTCTTCCTCTCTCTCCCTCTCTTCTCTTTCTCTCTCTCTCTCCCATCTGACCTTTATCGCTCTCTCTCTCACCCTCTCTCCTCTTCCTCTCTCTCTCCCATCTGACCTTTATCGCTCTCTCTCTCACCCTCTCCCCTCTTCCTCTCTCTCTCCCTTCTGACCTTTTTCGCTCTCTCCCCTGACCTCTCCGTCTTTCTCTCTCTCTCCCATCTGACATTTATCACTCTCTCTCCCTCTCTTCTCTCTCTCTCCCTCTCTCCCCTCTCCCCAGCCGGCCTCAGCCCTGGCAGCAGCTGCACCTTTCACAGCCCTCTCCGCTCGCCCCGAGGATGCGACACAGGCCGGTTCCCATCATGCATCACTCGGCGTCAGCAGCTGAAAGGATCCGCTGACTGATGCCCCTCTCTCGTTAATCCCCCCATCCACGTCTGCTCCTCCGGCCGCCAGATGTTCTCCCTCCTGGGCCCTCGCAGACAAAGGAGCCATGTTTTTGTTTGGGGCCCCCTGTCCATCCCGCGGGGGTCAAAAGGTCCCCGCGGTCACAGGCGGAGACCGACACCAGCGCCGGGTCCGCAGTGTTTGGGGTGCGGCCGGGCGTGAGGACGGGGCGGTTGCCGATGATTAGTTGGAGAGAAAAGCACTACCTTCCATATGCTGATGCGCTAAGCTAACGCCGCATCGGGTTGCACCGGCGAGAGAGAGAAGGGTCTTGGATAGTTTATTCAGTTGTATTTATTTTTGTAAAGCCCTAAACCACAACAGTTGTCGCCTCGAAGGACGTGTGGATTGATGGATTCTCTGATCTGTGTTGGCGAATCAACAAAACAGTTCAAAAACACAGGAAAATGCAATGATAACAAACACATAGAGCCGTTGGTCCATAAAGGGCGGGAGACCAGAGGGAGAGAAACCAGAAAGAGAGAGACCAGAGAGAGAGAGACCAGAGAGAGAGAGACCAAAGAGAGAGAGAAAGACCAGTGTGAGAGAGAGACCAGAGAGAGAAAGACCAAAGAGAGACCAGAGAGAGAGAGAGAAGACCAGAGAGAGACCAGTGTGAGAGAAAGACCAGAGAGAGAAAGACCAGTGTGAGAGAGAGACCAGAGAGAGAGAGAGAAAGACCAGTGAGAGAGAGACTGAGAGAGACCAAAAAGAGACCAGAGAGAGAGAGAGAGAAGACCAGAGAGAGAGACCAAAGAGAGAAACCAGAGAGAGAGAAAGAAGACCAGAGAGAGACCGTGAGAGAGACCAGTAAGAGAGACCAAAGAGAGAAACCAGAGACCAGTGAGAGAGACCAAAGAGAGAAACCAGAGACCAGTAAGAGAGACCAAAGAGAGAAACCAGAGACCAGTGAGAGAGACCAAAGAGAGAAACCAGAGACCAGTGAGAGAGACCAAAGAGAGAAACCAGAGACCAGTGGGAGAGACCAAAGAGAGAGACCAGAGACCAGTGAGAGAGACCAAAGAGAGAAACCAGAGACCAGTGAGAGAGACCAAAGAGAGAAACCAGAGACCAGTGGGAGAGACCAAAGAGAGAGACCAGAGACCAGTAAGAGAGACCAAAGAGAGAAACCAGAGACCAGTGAGAGAGACCAAAGAGAGAAACTAGAGACCAGTAAGAGAGACCAAAGAGAGAAACCAGAGACCAGTGAGAGAGACCAAAGAGAGAAACCAGAGACCAGTGAGAGAGACCAAAGGGAGAAACCAGAGACCAGTGAGAGAGACCAAAGAGAGAAACCAGAGACCAGTGAGAGAGACCAAAGGGAGAAACCAGAGACCAGTGAGAGAGACCAAAGAGAGAAACCAGAGACCAGTGGGAGAGACCAAAGAGAGAGAGAGAGAGATAAATAGATAGACACATCCATTCATTCAAATATAACTACATAGTTCTTAAAGTTTCAGTAATAGTAATAAACTGCTGCTACTAATTTTTATTGGGTCCTTTTTTTTCAAATGTTGTTTATTCATTCTTCACAAAAAGGTACAAATTAAATGAATAAATGATGCTTATGAAAGGTACATAAATTAAAAGTTATTGTGTTGGCGTGTGTGTCTTGTGTTTGGTTAAGAGGGAGGCTTCTCTGATTTCTGATTCGTACATAACATGTCACATTTTGAGACTCTTTCTGTGGGGACAAACAACATTAATGTATGATAATAATAATAATAATAATAATAATGCATCGGTTTTATAAAGCGCTTTTCAGGACACTCAAAAAAGATTCACATTCGTCAGTTTTCTTTCACTCCATACAGTGGTGTTAAACTACTGTACTACAGTAGCCACAGCTGCCCTGGGGCACACTGACAGAAGCGAGGCAACCAGTCTGTGCCATCAGCCACCACCACCATCACCAACCATTCACACACACACCAGACTCATTCTAGGCAAGGCAAGGCAAGGCAAGTTTATTTATATAGCACAATTCATACACAAGGCAATTCAAAGTGCTGAACAAAACAAGAAAGCATTAAAATCATAAATAATCACAGAACATTAAAAATAAAGATACAATTATAAAATCCCTCAGTTGTATGCACAGCTAAACAGAACTGTCTTTAACCTGGTTTTAAACATTGTCAGACAGATCTAGAGTGTGCCCTCTGCTGTGGGTGGGGCCACTTACGTGCTGAGTGAGATCAAAGGATTCAAGTACAGAACTCAGCTTATTTGCATTTCTGTCATCAACATTATCCACATGAATATTAAAATCACCTGTAATAACCAAACTATCAAAATCTGTGCATACAACTGAAAGCAACTTCCCCCCCTTCTAAAGTGGGGGAAGTGTCTTGCCCAAGGACTAAGCACTTTACTGCCACAGCCGCCCCACTGTGGCACCTGGTGTTCCCAGAGGTCTCCCATCACAGTACTAACCAGGCCCTAACCTGCTTAGCTTCAGCGGTCTGGCAGGATCTGGCTTTCACTTGCAGGTATAGCCAAGTTAGAAATACCAAGTACTCAGATATTTCAGCTCGTGTTGGTCCTCCTCCACGCAGCAGGTGGCGCTGTAGTCCCAGCTCTAAGTGTTTTTTGTTGTTGTATTATTAATCTCTGAAGAACAAAAGTCCTGCGGTGGTGGTGAAGCATCACTGAGTTCTCCGGTGTCTCAGGTCAAACAGGTGTGGGTTAAAAAACGTCCTTTTCTGCTGCATGTTCCGGGGACTGGTTATTTTTAATACTTCAGACGATCTCGTCAAATGTCCGGTCTTTCCAGCACCTTCTGTTTCTTTGTTCCTGATTGCATGTTGTTATGTTGTCATTACGTTTGTCTCTCTTTTGTCTATTGTTGAATAAAAAGTTAGTTCACAAATAAAATAATCATAATGAATTAAAGGTGCAGTTGTTAGCTTAGCCGTAGCACCAACTGGAAGCCACTCCCCCCCTCCCCTCCCCTCCCTCTCCACCAAACCAAACATCCAGCATTTTCTTTTCTTTGTCACAACAGGGAGAGTGGAGCAAACGTGGAACTGGCATTTTCTGTTCAGCCATTTTAGGTTTTAGAAAATCCGATAACTCCGGTGCACTCGGGAGAAACAGGAAGATGGTGAAGGGGGTAAACACATCCCATTGGTTCGTTGGAAATTAACAAATCCCATTGGTCTATTTTTAACGGCTGCTCCAAAATATTTGTTTAACATTTTTGTATACTATAGACATCTGGTCAATTCCATTACTATTACTACTATATACGTCTATATAAAAACATTGACAGCGTCTTTAAACTATCTTTTAATGTTGACATGGAGTAGGGAAGTCGAGAAGAGCAATCGCTAGTAACCATAGCAACACTCTTAACTTGCTACCAGTTAGCATTAGCCTTTCAACGTGTTTTTTCTCGGTATTTCAAGTTATATTCACTGGTTTTCAAATACTCTTGATACATTCCCACTCATTGCTCTTGTTACTAGTTGTGTTTTGAGGTTTTCATATATTTCATGTTTACCGTGTTTGAAATTTGCCATATCTCCGGGTAGCTAGTTAGCCAGTTAGCATTAGCATTGCAACAAAGGTATCAGTATTTCAAGTTATAGCCACCAGTTTTTTTGGTTTTCTTACATTGGGAAATACCTACGGTTACTTAGCAGTGTTGGCGTATAGCTCCCAGGGGGGGTCGCCCAGCAGGGGGGGGGGGGGCTGTGACAGGAGGAGAGTACAGTGTGTTTTCAATGACAACAGCTGAACAATAGCAAAGGCTTTCAACAGCATGGATCCGCTTGGGTCTGACGGATTGTTCCAGCCTCCTACTGTCTCCAGGATTCCAGAGATCCTTAAGACTCTCAGGGAGGAGCAGAGGAACCGCATTCAAGAAGATCCACGCAACATTTACTTCTCAAACTTTTGGACCGGTATAATCATGTTTAGGCTAGAAATATGTAATTGTAAGTAGCAGAAATATCACAAGTCAAAAAAACATGATATTTATACTTTGCTATAGACCGTGTAAGTTTACCAGCACAGTGTAATGGGAGATAGGTGTAGGGTCAGAGAGTGTATGGGTCTGTCTCAGTGTATGTATGTGTGTGTGTGTTTGTTTGTGCGTCTGAATATGTGTGTATGTCTGTATATGTGTGTTTGAGAGTGTGTGAGTACATCTGTATGTTTTTCTGTGTGTTGTATGTGCATGTGTGTGTCTATATATGCATGTGTGTGTTTGACTGTGTGCATGTGTGTGTTTGACAGTGTGCATGTGTGTGTTTGTATATGCATGTGTGTGTTTGACAGTGTGCATGTGTGTGTCTATATATGCATGTGTGTGTTTGACAGTGTGTATGTGTGTGTCTATATACAGTATGCATGTGTGTGTTTGACAGTGTGCATGTGTGTGTCTATAAATGCATGTGTGTGTTTGACAGTGTGCATGTGTGTGTCTATATATGCATGTGTGTGTTTGACAGTGTGCATGTGTGTGTTTGTATATGCATGTGTGTGTTTGACAGTGTGCATGTGTGTGTCTATATATGCATGTGTGTGTCTATATATGCATGTGTGTGTTTGACAGTGTGCATGTGTGTGTCTATATATGCATGTGTGTGTTTGACAGTGTGCATGTGTGTGTCTATATATGCATGTGTGTGTTTGACAGTGTGCATGTGTGTGTTTGACAGTGTGCATGTGTGTGTCTATATATGCATGTGTGTGTCTATATATGCATGTGTGTGTTTGACAGTGTGCATGTGTGTGTCTATATACAGTATGCATGTGTGTGTTTGACAGTGTGCATGTGTGTGTCTATATATGCATGTGTGTGTTTGACAGTGTGCATGTGTGTGTTTGACAGTGTGCGTGTGTCTATATATGCATGTGTGTGTTTGACAGTGTGCATGTGTGTGTCTATAAATGCGTGTGTGTTTGACAGTGTGCATGTGTGTGTCTATAAATGCGTGTGTGTTTGACAGTGTGCATGTGTGTGTCTATAAATGCGTGTGTGTTTGACAGTGTGCATGTGTGTGTCTATAAATGCATGTGTGTGTTTGACAGTGTGCATGTGTGTGTCTATGTATGCATGTGTGTGTTTGACAGTGTGCATGTGTGTGTCTATATATGCATGTGTGTGTTTGACAGTGTGCATGTGTTTGTCTATATATGCATGTGTGTGTTTGACAATGTGCATGTGTTTGTCTATAT